ACCTTACGTGATTGGCCGCCATATGCGGGCATTCACAAATAACTACTACTACAAGTTGTATTCGAACTCGTAGTAGTCAGTGCTTCGATCTGCGGCTGAACCGTGACACGCGGGTGTGTCATCAGTGTCAGGAATAGAGCATTCAGGTAGTTTCCGCCATTCGCTTGCTGCTCTTCGCCCCCCCGCGAAACCGCTCTTCCGCCATTCACTCCCCCCCTCTCCCCCGACAGCGCAGCATCGAATGTCCTGCTTCGTGTAGATCCCGCCTGTAGCTGCCTCTTTTAGTTCCCGCTAATGCAACTTAGGGGTGGAGTCAAACACTCGTTTTAAGCTCCCTCCCAACTCGTTTCTATCCACAAAGTTACGTAACCCTTCTCATTCTTCAAGGCGCGCCTTTTTTTAAAATTAGAGACTTGACAAACGACATGTGGGTCTGGAATTCTTCGCCGTCCAACCAGCGCGATTCGCGGCAGCAACGATGCTGCGTGCTGCGGCCGCCGCAGTTCTCGCGCGCCGCTGGTCAGCGCGGCCTGCTTTTCTCCGCAGCGCTCGCGCTTGCGTTCGTGGCGGCGTGCCACGTGGACACAGCGGAAGCAGGCGCCTTTAAAGCCACGGACGAGTTCAAGCCGCCATGCGGGCTCATGACAACCCCAGGAGCCAAGGGTAAGCGACGCCGCGCCGCCGACGAGTCAAGAGGCCAAGGGATAATACCGTCGATAACCCTGCTTTCAGCGCTGTCCATGCGGTGGTTTATCGTAACCGCGAGGCGACTCCGGCTTGCAACTCTGATAGTACCAGTATGATTCGTTGAAAGTTCTCGGGGTAGTAGCTGGATCGCGGATTTCACAAAGGGTATGCGGCGGAGAATATAACACAAGCCTAGTGCTCGATCCCCTGGTAGTCTATAGATGGGAACCACTTTGTTTCCTCAGTTCTTTCAATTCCTCCCGCCTTTCTTTGTCTTTCGCCTACTATCTCCGAATTTTGTCCCCGCTTCCCCCCTCTTCCCCCGCTTCCCCTGCTTCCCCCGCTTCCCCACCTTCCGCCTCCGCAGGCTGGAGGCGATGGAGCGATTGGCACACGTGCTTTGAGGCGCCTCAAGAGTCTTCCCCGCCTTCCCCACCTTCCCCGCTTTCCCCGCCTTTTCCGCCTTCCCCGCCTTTTCCGCCTTTCTCCCCTTCCGCCTCCGCAGGCTGGAGGCGGTGGAGCGATTGGCGCACGTGGGGAGGCAAGACGCGCTTCCTGGGCGTGCCGGGGCGGGGTTTCTTTTTCAGGCGCGCTATTCCTCCGAGGCTTGTTCTTTCCCGTTCCCGTTTTCAGGGTGGAAGCGGTGGAGCGATTGGCGCACGTGGGGCGGTCCGATGCGCTTCCTGGGCGTGCCGGGGCGCGGGCTGCGGAAATGGGTGGACGTCACAATCCCGTGCGGAGTCTCGATCCTGCTCGACGTACCCGATATAAGCGTGAAGACGCTCACCGTCAAAGGCTGGCTCAAGTGAGTCTCGCTGGCTCATCCCCCACTCCCCGTCTCTTTCCCCCACTTTCCCCCATTCCGCTCACCGTTAAGGGCTGGCTCAAGTGAGTCTCGCTGGCCCGTCCCCCGCTCCCCACTCCCCCCTCCCCGGTCCACTCCCGCTCCCCTTCTCTCCCCCCCAATTTCCCACCCTTCCGCTCGCCCTGAACGGCGGGCTCAAGTGAGTCTCGCTGGTTCGGCGGCGGCTCGGGTTTGGGACATACGAAGCAGCCTCGTTACAGAATCTGGATAATAGGAGCGTGCCGGATTGTGCCGGATTGTGCCGGATTGTGCCGGATCGCATCGGATCTGATTGGACTCGTTGCTGTCAACCGCTTCTTAGAGTCAACTCGAGAATCGCAACCCTTCCCCCGTTCCCCCACCCCTCCCCCCCAACCGCCACCTTCCCCCCCCGTCCCTCTCAATTCCCCGTCGCTCCCCAAGATTAGCGTCAACGCGCATTTCGTCGTCGTGATAGCGTGACTGACGGCGGGCGAGTCAAACCAACCCCCCCTTCCCTCCTCGCCCTTCCGCCGACAACAATCCTTTGCTTCGCAGGGTGCCCGTCTCGCCGTCACTCAGCGTTAACGCGCATTGCATTGTGGTGATTCCTTATCTCTCCGCCCCATTCCTCCCTCTTCTCCCCCCACCTTTCCCCCTCCGCAGGGTGCTCGACTCGCCGTCGCTCCCGCGGATCGACGTCAAAGCGCATTTCGTCGTCGTGATGGGCCGGCTAACGGCGGGCGAGCCGAGCCGCCATTTCTCGAGCCGCCTCACCTTCACCCTCTTCCCCGGGAGCCGCAAGCCGTACATGCTGTCGAAACTCGCGCCGGCGGATGCGGCGAACCCGCGTGATCTAGGGCACAAGGCGTTCATCGTGGTACGTTATTGTGGGATGCGGTGAACAGCGGTGGGATGCGGTGAACCGCGGTTGGATGCGGCGAGCCTCGGTGGGATGCGGTAACAGAAGACATAAAAAGTTCAGAGGGGGGGAGCTGCAAGCCGTACATGCTGACGAAGCTCGCGCCGGCGGATGCGGCGAACCCACGCGACCTGGGGCATAAGGCGTTCATCGTGGTACGTGGTGCGGGGGAAGAGAGTGGGGGTGGAAAGGTGGGGCGGAAGGTCCCTGTTATCCCGCGGGTAATCGCAAGCCGTACATGCTGACGAAACTCGCGCGCGCGGATGCGGCGAACCCTCGCGACCTGGGTCACAAGGCGCTCATTGCGGTACGTGCGTGGGGGGAGGGGCAGGGGGGTGGGCGGGAAAGGGGGAGGGGAAGGGGCAGTGGGATGGGCGGATATGCTGAACTTACGCGATCTGGGCCACAAGGCGTTCATGGTGGTATGTGGTGGGGTTGGGAGGTGGGCGGGAGAAGACGGGTAGGTGCAATTGCATCGCATGCATGCGTTCATTTCCCTCAGGTGGGCGGCCAGGCGCAATTCCACGGCATGCCGGGCGGGCGGCATTTGGCAATGACGCAATTATTCAAATCCCCTTGTCTCATTTCTATTTTCCCTCAGGTGGGCGGCCAGGCGCAATTCCATGGCATGCCGGGCCGGGCGGCAGTTGGCAGCGAGCAGACACAATTTTTCACGTAACATGATGTTCCATGTCTCACTTCGGATTTCCCTCAGGTGGGCGGTCAGGTGCAATTCCATGGCATGCCGGGCTGGGCGGCAGTTGGCAGCGAGCAGACACAATTTTTCACGTAACATGATGTTCCATGTCTCACTTCGGATTTCCCTCAGGTGGGCGGTCAGGTGCAATTCCATGGCATGCCGGGCCGGGCGGCAGCGACACCCCGACAACCCATTTACCTACACGACTCCATTCAATAGAGGTGTTGTGCTGTCTCATGTTGCTTCTCAGGTGGGCGGGCAGGTGCAATTCCACGGCATGCCGGGAGGCAGCAACACGCCCTCGTGGGTGCGGCTGAGTGAGACGGCCAACGCCGGCCAGCGTTACATTCTCGTGGACGCTGACGTCAGCAAATGGGCGGCGGGCATGACGGTGGCTCTGGCCTCCACCAGTAACAACCTGAACGAGGCGGAACACCACCTGATCGCCTCAGGTGAGGGAGTGTAAAATCAAATCTCCTTACAGGCAGCGAGCGCCATTTACTAACGCCCCTCTCCCCTCTGGCTCTGGCCTCCACCAGTAACAACCTGAACGAGGCAGAACACCATTTGATTGCCTCAGGTGAGGGGTGTTGATTCGATTGCGTATCGGGCTGAGCAGCAGTCGATTTGACCACCTTCGTCCCAATCCTCTCTGGCTCTGGCCTCCACCAGTAATGACCTGAACGAGGCGGAACACCATCAGATTGCCTCACGTGAAAGATTGTGATTTCATTGTGTGAGGTGAGGGATTGCGATGCGATCTCTCCCCCTGTTACTTGTTACAACCACCATCTTTTCCTTGTCTCTTGTGTTTCACGACGAGTTATATATATTTTCCTCCCCTCCCTCGCATTGTCTCACCCGCCCCAACCCTAAACCAGTTGCCGCTGACATCAGCAATCCTGGCGTTTTCCGCATCAACCTGCAGACCCCCCTGAGGCACACCCACCAGGGGGAGGTGTTACCTGACGGGGGCACGGGCACCGTAGGAATCTTCGGGGAAGTTGCGCTGCTGGACCGCCACGTCAGCATCCAGGGGACGAATGAGGCGGCGCCACATCAGCTCGACGGGGGACACTTTATAATCTACATGACCCCAACCAAGCAGACCCTGGAGGGTGTGCAGTTCAAAGGACTCGGAAATCAGGGGACCCTGGGGAAATACCCCGTGCACTTCCATATCTGCGGGCAGAACGGGCAGGATCACGTGGTTCGGAAAAACGCCATCGTGTTTACCAGACAGGTACGGCGAGTGAGAGGTTTGGGAAGCGAGACAGGTATGGGAACTGGCATGCGCATTTCTTTCTTTCAACAAGCTGTTCCCCTCTTCTCTCCCTCTGTTGTTCACATCCCCCTCAACACCCTCTCCCCCACCTTGCCACCTTCCTCCTCCAGCGATCCATGGTGATACACGCGACGGGCAGCATGACCATCGAGGACAACGTAGCATACGAAACCAAGGATCACTGCTACCCGCTCCCTCTGCCCTTCTTTCCACTCCCATTCCCTTCACTTCTTGCCGTCTCCAATCAACCACCAACAGAGGTGCATGGTGATTCACGCCACGGGCAGCATGACGATTGAGGACAGCGTGGCGTACGAGAGCAAGGGTCACTGAGTGAACTGAACACAGCGCTTCTCCTCTTCACCAACATAGCGTCTCATGTGAACTGAACAGCAATCTTCTCTCCTCTTCTGTCTTCTCCTGCAGCGCTGCATGGTGATTCACGCCACGGGCAGCACGACGATAGAAGACAACATAGCGTACGAGACCAAGGCAAGGGGCACTGCTAACTGCTCCATGTGCTCCTTATGCCCTTTCCCCACTCCCCTTCCCTTTCGCCCCCTCTCCCACCCAACGCCAACAGAGGTGCATGGTGATTCACGCCACGGGCAGCATGACGATTGAAGACAACGTGGCGTACGAGACCAAGGGGCACTGCTATTTGCTGGAGGAGGGAAGCGAGCTGAACAATAACTTCAAGCGCAACCTTGGAATCAACGCCAGAAAAGGTACATCATGACATGATATGATAAGATATGATATGAAAATATTAAGCGATACAATATTATATGATCTGATGAGTTATGATATTAGACGATATGTTATGAAATGACATGATATGATATGATATGATATGATATGATATGATATGATATGATATGATATGATATGATATGATATGATATGATATGATATGATATGATATGATATGATATGATATGATATGATATGATATGATATGATATGATATGATACGATACGATACGATACGATATGATACGATTTTGATAAGTCAAGCCTCTCGTCTCTTGCCCTCCCCTCCTCTTCCCCCACCCCTCCTCCCTATCACGCTCTCTCCGCTAGCTGCAGCAAGCTCGACAAGCAGACGTATCGATAGCGAGAAAGGTCGACAACCTCTGTTTCCCCGTATTCAACCATTCCCAACCACTCCTTTCCCCCCTCTCCCCCCCACCACTGTGCAGTGGAGAAGGTGATTCCCCCCGCCAGCAGCAGCAAGCTGGACAAGCAGACAGGCTGACAGCGAGAGGGACCGACAGCTCGTATTCCTGCTCCCAACCTTTCCCAACCGTTCTCTTTCTCCCACCCTCTCCCTCTCTCATTGCAGTGGAGAAGGTGATTCCCCCCGCCAGCAGCAGCAAGCTGGACAAGCAGACGGACAAACAGCCCACCACGTTCTGGCTCGGCACCCCCCACAGCAACTTCATTGATAACGTGGCTGCTGGCTCGGAAGATTCTGGGTGAGTGGTACAGTACATAATACTACATAATATATATATATATATATTTATATATATGTACTTACATGTTATGAAACATTGTGGCACTGTAGACAGCCCACCACGTTTTGGCTCAACACACCCCGCAGCAACTTCATTGACAACGTGGCTGCTGGCTCGGAGGATTCTGGGTGAGCACTACAGTAAATGGAGTTACCATTCCCCTTGTCTGTCTGTCTGTCTGTCTGTCTGTCTGTCTGTTTGTTTGTTTGTTTGTTTGTTTGTTTGTTCTTTTAACCAGTTTTGAGTCTCTCTCTCTCTTGATCTCGTCCTCCTCCCACATCCCCTTCCGAGTTGACTTTTGAGTCGAGTCAAAAGTCTACCGCAGTCTCTCTATCTCTTGATCTCCCTTCCTCCCACCTCCCCTTCCCTCCTCCCCTCCTGCAACCCCACAGCTTCTGGCTGGAGGCAACGCTGTGCATGCGATGAGTGTCCCGCCTGTTGCCTGCCATCGGAGCCATCAACCCCCTCGCTTACAACTGGGGGGAGAGTACTCACTGGGGAACGTCGCTCTGCCTTGATCTCGTCCTCCTCACACAAGCCTCTCGTCTTCCCCTCCTTCCTCACCTGCTCCCATACCCCGCAGATTCTGGCTAGAGGCCACCCCATACATGCGGGGTGTGTCGCGCCTGCTGCCTGCGATCGGAGCCATGAACCCCCTCGCGTACAACTGGGGCGAGTACTCGGGGAACGTTGCTCACAGCAACGTGTTTGGGTTTCGCACGTACCCTCACGGCTCGTATGCGCGCTACCCTGTGTATGACGAAGACCCTGCTCCCTTGAAGGACTTTCTGATCTACCGCAACAAAGTGGGGTGAGTGAGTGAGTGAGTGAGTGAGGGAGTGAGGGAGTGAATGAGTGCGTGGGAACCTGGATTTAGGGTCACGACCTTCCTCTCCTCACTCTCCCTCCCTCCATCCCTCCCTCCCTCTCGTGTTTTGAGTCGACTCAGAACCTTCCTGTCGTCACTCTCCTCTCTCCTCTTACTTCCTCTCCTCTCCTCTCCTCTCCTCACCTCTCCTCTTCTCTCCTCTCCTCTCTTTTTCTCACCTCTCCTCTCCCCTCCTCTCTTCTCCTCTCCTCTCCTCTCCCCTTCTCACCTCTCCTCTCCCCTCCCTCCTCTCCTCTCCCCTCCCTCCTCTCCTCTCACCCCCCTCCTCTCCTTTCCAGAATGTTCTTTTTCAACAGCGAGCGCATCGTGGTGCAGAACGGAATCTTCCTGGAAAACGCCATCGGCATAGACCTGAGCCGCAACGTGAAGCTCTCAGCCTCTGGCTGCAAGTTCATCGCTCGGGCCGCTGCTGCTGCTGCTGCTGCTGCTGCTACCACCACTGCTGCTGCTGGTGGTGCTACCACCACTGGTGCTACTACCAAGTTTATGGGAAGCGCCAGCACCAGCGGCAGCAATGGTATCAGAACGCTCAGCAGCAGCACAGCTTCTGGAGCCGATTTTGACGCAGAGTTGGCTTTAATGAAAGGCCCGACCACACTCACCCAACCCGACAGCCTCTCCCTTGCTCTCGGGCCACTGGACGAGGTGTATGGTGGTGCTGGTACGTGCTGCTCTGCTCTACAAGCTGTTCTTACACCTGTTGTTATAGCTGGGTTTGATTTGATGCGGGGTTGGCGTTGATAAAAGGCCCGACCACACTCACTCAACCCGACAGCCTCTCCCTTGCTCTCGGGCCACTGGACGACGTGTATGGTGGTGCTGGTGAGTCACATCACATCAACCACCCTCACTCAACCTGCCAGTCTACCCTTGCTCTCGGGCCACTGGGAGGGTTGGCGATGCACAGTGTTCCTGACTGTATGTGATTCCTGTGTCCCCCACCCACTACCGCAGGAGTGGACTTCACTTGACCAGAGGAGCAGCTGTTTCAAGAGCTCAAGAGCAAGCCGGGCGTGTTGTATCTTGGCACTCTTTTCACCTTTGGTGTGCGGTGCTATGCGGTGCCCTGTGGTGCTCTATTGTGTGCAGGAGTGGACTTCACTTAGCCAGAGGAGCAGCTGTTTCAAGAGCTCAAGAGCAAGCCGGGCGCGCTGGCAGGCACGAGTGAAGCAGCAGCAGCAGCAGCAGCAACAGCAGCAGAGGGTGATAGGTGGCTGTAACTGCATGTGGCCCTGTCTCTGTCTCCCCACCCACCACTGCAGGTGCGGATTTCACTCGGCCAGAAGAAGAGTTATTTAAGGAGCTCAAGAGCAAGCCGGGAGCGCTGGCTCGGGTGAAGCAGCAACAGAGGGTGGGGCCGTTGCAGCGGGTGATAGGGGACGGCAAGACAGGCAGTTTTGCCTCGCCTGTGGGGATTGTCGTCAGCCAGTGCAACCCGTCCGACCCTCCAGGGCCCAACTCGATCCAGGATTCATTGTGAGTTGACTCTCTTGACTCTGTTTGACTTAGTTGACTTGGGGGTGTGAAACTTGTTTTGAGTCGCCTGTGCGGATTGTGGTCAGCCAGTGCAACCCTTCAGACCGCCCGGGGCCCAACTCGATCCAGGATTCCTTGTGAGTTGCTTTATTGTTATCTCTTGTTGACTCGCTTGACTTTGTTGACTCGCTTGACTTTGTCGACTCGCTTGACTATGGCACCACTGACGATGCTGGCTTTGCTGTGATTCTCACACTGCCCTGCACACTTGCAAGTGTTGCAATCCATTTGATCCGTTCCCTTTCTCATCTCCTTCCCTCCCCCCCAGCATCTCAAACTATGGCGCCACAGACGATGCCAGCTTTGCTCTGCTGTCCCCAGGCTATCACACATTGGCACTCCATGAACCCGTTTCCTTCCAATCCTGATCTGCCCCCTTCTCTCTCCCCTCACCTCTCTCCCTCCCCTGACGATCCCAGCTTCTCAAACTATGGCGCCACAGACGATGCCAGCTATGCCGTGCTCTGCTGCTCACACGGTCATGCACATTGGCACGTGTTGTTGCAAGCCATTTGATCCGTTCCCTCGCATCTCCTCCCCTCCCCTCCCCCTCTCTCCCCCCAGCTTCTCAAGCTATGGCGCCACAGACGATGCCAGCTTTGCCGTGCTGCTCACAGCCAACCATGCGGGGGGGTACTGGAACAGTGCTTTCTACGTCAAGGTGAGCCTAGGTCGGGCTAGGTGAGGCTGGGTGAGGCTGGGTGAGGCTGGGTGAGGCTGGGTGAGGCTGGTCAAAGGACAGTCAACCACGCAGGGAGGACTGGAACAGTGCTTCTACGTCAAGGTGAGGCAATGAAATGAGTGTTCAACTAGGACTGTCAGCATCACTATCTTTCTTATACTTCAAGCATCCAAAAACTCTACGCAGCATCGCAACAGTCAGTCTTGCTGTGCTTCACTTTTGAATCAACTTAAAAGAAGGAGTGTTTTGAGACATCTCAAAACACTCCTTCTTTCACGTGGCTTTGCTTCACTTTTGAATCAACTTAAAAAGTCGCCAGTTCTCGCCCCATAATGAGGCGACAATCCGTCATGTCTCACTTAATCTTGCCCCATACATCCTTCCCTCCACACCCTCTCACCGCCCACCCCACAACAGGGCCTAACCTCCGGCTCTGGGACCATTAAGTTCTGGGCCACTCCTAACCCCTGCAAACCATGTGCCACTCACTCCCACCATGTCCAAAACTCTAGCATCTGTGGAAAACTCCTCTTCCCACCCTCTTACCGCCCACCCTACCCCACAACAGGGCCTAACATTTGGTTCTGGAACCAACAAGTTCTGGGCCACTCCGAACCCCGTAAGCAATAAACACATCCGTTTTCTATCATGCTTGAGTCTTTTGAGACGTCTCAACAGTCAATAAACACGTCTAACACTTATCATCCATGAGATGATCTTTCCATGCCACACATATTTTTTTTTCTGCCCATGTTACTGGTCAGTTATTGATTGTTGCATTTCATTTTATTTCCTTTCTGAGAAAAATATTCAAAGCACCGAGCCTAAGGTTGCCCTTATACGCATCATATATATACAGTACCTCACCTATGTTTTCCTCAAAACACTTGTTTCCCCGTTATAATCACGTGCAGCCAGCAGGCACGCCGCCCCGAGGAGGTCTGGTGGTGCGATTCCACGCCATCCCAGTTGACTTTTGAGTCGACTCAAAAGTCTACTCGATTCCACGCCATCCGGGATCTCGATGGATCTCTCTACGCCATCCAGTGTGCCTCATCTCATATATGACCTCTCTGCCCCCCTATCCCCCTCCAACCCACCTTTCCTTCTCATCAGTCCTCGGGCACGCCGCCCCGGGGGGGTCTGGTGGCGCGATTTTACGCCATCCGGGATCTCGACGGGTCGCTCCTCGGCCAATCAGGCTACGCCGTTGCCAACTACGATCCGATCCTGCCGCCCGCCGCCGTCCGGGCGGCAAAGTGCTCGTTGGACAGCGCACAGAACGTGTATGCGTGCACGGACGTGTGCTATCGGTCGGTGGGGATTGGATACCACGAGTGGGGGGTGCGACCCAACGGCATGGCTGGGCTTCCGGCTTACGTGCTGAGACCATACAGGTGCGTAGATGGTGTGCGTGCGGTTGACAAGAGAAAGAGAGAGGGCAGAGCGCAGAGCGCAGAGAGCAGAGCGCAGAGAGCAGAGCGCACAGTACGTGTATGCATGCCCAACAACTTGCTGTCCTATGTTCTAACCCCACAACCCCTCTTCCCTGCCCCTCCTCTCCCCCTGCTTGGTGTCCAGTTGTGTCGTCGTGACAAGGCAAGGCTAAAAGATGGGGCTGTGTTCACGGTCACGGACTACGGCACGTGTGTTTTGAGTCGACTCAAAACACAGATGGGGCTGTGTTCACGGTCACGGACTACGGCACGTGTGTTTTGAGTCGACTCAAAACACAGATGGGGCTGTGTTCACGGTCACGGACTACGGCACGTGTGTTTTGAGTCGACTCAAAACACAGATGGGGCTGTGTTCACGGTCACGGACTACGGCACGTGTGTTTTGAGTCGACTCAAAACACAGATGGGGCTGTGTTCACGGTCACGGACTACGGCACGTGTGTTTTGAGTCGACTCAAAACACAGATGGGGCTGTGTTCACGGTCACGGACTACGGCACGTGTGTTTTGAGTCGACTCAAAACACAGATGGGGCTGTGGTCACGGTCACGGACTATGGCACGGACAACGACAACCCCAACAGCGCTTGAGGGACCGTCACAGCTCCTTCTCACCGCACCCCACACCTCGTTTCCCCCCTCTTCCCCCCCTCCTCTCCCCCTTCTGCTGTGCCCAGTTATGTGGTGGTAACCAGGCTAGAGGACGGTGCTGTGTTCACGGACTATGGCACGGACAATGACAACCCCAACAACGGCCCGGCCGTGCCAACCAAGAAAGTCCGGCGCTACCTCACATCCTCTCTCCTCGCTGGATACACCTACAGCATGAAAATCGTGCCCGCGCCCACCAACCCGCTGTTCTACCCCGAGGGGGTCTTTGTGCGGTCGTACGACCAGGAGGGGTGTGCGGGGGCGGTGACGATCATCCTGGAGCCCAAGGACGCCAACACACAATGGGTCACCAGCATTCCCACCTTGTGAGTAGACCTGCTCACCACCCGCTGCGCCCACCACCCGCTGCGCCCACCACCCGCTGCGCCCACCACCCGCTGCGCCCCCCAACCAGCTGTTTTACCCCGAGGGGGTCTTTGTGCGGTCGTACGACCAGGAGGGGTGTGCGGGGGCTGTTACGATCATATTGGAGCCGAAAGACGCCAACACACAATGGGTCACCAGCATTCCCACCTTGTGAGTGGGGGCTGTTACGATCATTCTTGAGCTGAAGGATTCTTTGGGGGGGGAGGGTTGGTTTTTGAGTCGACTCAAAAACCACCTCAAGGCCGTTGCGATCATTCTTGAGCTGAAGGATTCACAGGGAGGGGGGGGGGGGGGGGAGGAGGGAAGGGCTTGATGTGCTCAATGTGAGTATGACGATCAGGAGGGGTGTGCAGTGCGGGGGCTGTTACGATAATTCTCGAGCCGAAAGACTCGATGATTCAATGGGTTACCAGCATTCCCACTAGGTGAGTCCAGGGGGGGGGTCGTGTTTTGAGTCGACTCAAAACACGAGTCCAGGGGGGGGGGGGGGGGGTGTTCAAAACACGAGTCCAGGGGGGGGGGGGTGTTCAAAACACGAGTCCAGGGGGGGGGGGGGGGGTGTTCAAAACACGAGTCCAGGGGGGGGGGGGGGGTGTTCAAAACACGAGTCCAGGGGGGGGGGGGGGTGTTCAAAACACGAGTCCAGGGGGGGGGGGGGGGGTGTTCAAAACACGAGTCCAAGGGGGGGGGGGTGTTCAAAACACGAGTCCAGGGGGGGGGGGGGTGTTCAAAACACGAGTCCAGGGGGGGGGGGGGGGTGTTCAAAACACGAGTCCAGGGGGGGGGGGGGGGGTGTTCAAAACACGAGTCCAGGGGGGGGGGGGGGGTGTTCAAAACACGAGTCCAGGGGGGGTCTCGGAGGCGTCTCAAGTTTCTTTGAGGCTCCTCAAAGACCAACTCGGATATCCTTTCTCACATACTAGCACTTCCACCATGGTTGGTTGTGAGGCAGAGAGCAGGCGAGTGGGTTTTGATACAAGGCGAGCGGGTTTTGATACAAGGCGAGCGGGTTTTGATACAAGGCGAGCGGGTTTTGATACAAGGCGAGCGGGTTTTGATACAAGGCGAGCGGGTTTTGATACAAGGCGAGCGGGTTTTGATACAAGGCGAGCGGTTTTGATACAAGGCGAGCGGGTTTTGATACAAGGCGAGCGGGTTTTGATACAAGGCGAGCGGGTTTTGATGCAAGGCGAGCGGGTTTTGATGCAAGGCGAGCGGGTTTTGATGCAAGGCGAGCGGGTTTTGATGCAAGGCGAGCGGGTTTTGATGCAAGGCGAGCGGGGTTTGATGCAAGGCGAGCGGGTTTTGATGCAAGGCGAGCGGGTTTTGATGCAAGGCGAGCGGGTTTTGATGCAAGGCGAGCGGGTTTTGATGCAAGGCGAGCGGGTTTTGATGCAAGGCGAGCGGGTTTTGATGCAAGGCGAGCGGGTTTTGATGCAAGGCGAGCGGGTTTTGATGCAAGGCGAGCGGGTTTTGATGCAAGGCGAGCGGGTTTTGATGCAAGGCGAGCGGGTTTTGATGCAAGGCGAGCGGGTTTTGATGCAAGGCGAGCGGGTTTTGATGCAAGGCGAGCGGGTTTTGATGCAAGGCGAGCGGGTTTTGATGCAAGGCGAGCGGGTTTTGATGCAAGGCGAGCGGGTTTTGATGCAAGGCGAGCGGGTTTTGATGCAAGGCGAGCGGGTTTTGATGCAAGGCGAGCGGGTTTTGATGCAAGGCGAGCGGGTTTTGATGCAAGGCGAGCGGGTTTTGATACAAGGCGAGCGGGTTTTGATACAAGGCGAGCGGGTTTTGATACAAGGCGAGCGGGTTTTGATACAAGGCGAGCGGGTTTTGATACAAGGCGAGCGTGTTTTGATACAAGGCGAGCGGGTTTTGATGCAAGGCGAGCGGGTTTTGATGCAAGGCGAGCGGGTTTTGATACAAGGCGAGCGGGTTTTGATACAAGGCGAGCGGGTTTTGATACAAGGCGAGCGGGTTTTGATGCAAGGCGAGCGGGTTTTGATACAAGGGGAGCGGGTTTTGATACAAGGGGAGCGGGTTTTGATACAAGGCGAGCGGGTTTTGATGCAAGGCGAGCGGGTTTTGATACAAGGCGAGCGGGTTTTGATACAAGGCGAGCGGGTTTTGATACAAGGCGAGCGGGTTTTGATACAAGGCGAGCGGGTTTTGATACAAGGCGAGCGGGTTTTGATACAAGGCGAGCGGGTTTTGATACAAGGCGAGCGGGTTTTGATACAAGGCGAGCGGGTTTTGATACAAGGCGAGCGGGTTTTGATACAAGGCGAGCGGGTTTTGATACAAGGCGAGCGGGTTTTGATACAAGGCGAGCGGGTTTTGATACAAGGCGAGCGGGTTTTGATACAAGGCGAGCGGGTTTTGATACAAGGCGAGCGGGTTTTGATGCAAGGCGAGCGGGTTTTGATGCAAGGCGAGCGGGTTTTGATGCAAGGCGAGCGGGTTTTGATGCAAGGCGAGCGGGTTTTGATGCAAGGCGAGCGGGTTTTGATGCAAGGCGAGCGGGTTTTGATGCAAGGCGAGCGGGTTTTGATGCAAGGCGAGCGGGTTTTGATACAAGGCGAGCGGGTTTTGATCCAAGGCGAGCGGGTTTTGATACAAGGCGAGCGGGTTTTGATCCAAGGCGAGCGGGTTTTGATCCAAGGCGAGCGGGTTTTGATGCAAGGCGGACGGGTTTTGATGCAAGGCGAGCGGGTTTTGATACAAGGCGAGCGGGTTTTGATACAAGGCGAGCGGGTTTTGATGCAAGGCGAGCGGGTTTTGATGCAAGGCGAGCGGGTTTTGATGCAAGGCGAGCGGGTTTTGATACAAGGCGAGCGGGTTTTGATGCAAGGCGAGCGGGTTTTGATGCAAGGCGAGCGGGTTTTGATGCAAGGCGAGCGGGTTTTGATGCAAGGCGAGCGGGTTTTGATGCAAGGCGAGCGGGTTTTGATGCAAGGCGAGCGGGTTTTGATGCAAGGCGAGCGGGTTTTGATGCAAGGCGAGCGGGTTTTGATGCAAGGCGAGCGGGTTTTGATGCAAGGCGAGCGGGTTTTGATGCAAGGCGAGCGGGTTTTGATGCAAGGCGAGCGGGGTTTTGATGCAAGGCGAGCGGGTTTTGATGCAAGGCGAGCGGGTTTTGATGCAAGGCGAGCGGGTTTTGATGCAAGGCGAGCGGGTTTTGATACAAGGCGAGCGGGTTTTGATACAAGGCGAGCGGGTTTTGATACAAGGCGAGCGTGTTTTGATACAAGGCGAGCGTGTTTTGATACAAGGCGAGCGGGTTTTGATACAAGGCGAGCGGGTTTTGATACAAGGCGAGCGGGTTTTGATACAAGGCGAGCGTGTTTTGATACAAGGCGAGCGTGTTTTGATACAAGGCGAGCGGGTTTTGATACAAGGCGAGCGGGTTTTGATACAAGGCGAGCGGGTTTTGATACAAGGCGAGCGGGTTTTGATACAAGGCGAGCGGGTTTTGATACAAGGCGAGCGGGTTTTGATACAAGGCGAGCGGGTTTTGATACAAGGCGAGCGGGTTTTGATGCAAGGGGAGCGGGTTTTGATACAAGGCGAGCGGGTTTTGATGCAAGGCGAGCGGGTTTTGATACAAGGCGAGCGGGTTTTGATACAAGGCGAGCGGGTTTTGATACAAGGCGAGCGGGTTTTGATACAAGGCGAGCGGGTTTTGATACAAGGCGAGCGGGTTTTGATACAAGGCGAGCAGGTTTTGATGCAAGGCGAGCGGGTTTTGATACAAGGCGAGCGGGTTTTGATACAAGGCGAGCGGGTTTTGATACAAGGCGAGCGGGTTTTGATACAAGGCGAGCGGGTTTTGATACAAGGCGAGCGGGTTTTGATGCAAGGCGAGCGGGTTTTGATGCAAGGCGAGCGGGTTTTGATGCAAGGCGAGCGGGTTTTGATGCAAGGCGAGCGGGTTTTGATGCAAGGCGAGCGGGTTTTGATGCAAGGCGAGCGGGTTTTGATGCAAGGCGAGCGGGTTTTGATGCAAGCGAGCGGGTTTTGATACAAGGCGAGCGGGTTTTGCTACAAGGCGAGCGGGTTTTGATACAAGGCGAGCGGGTTTTGATACAAGGCGAGCGGGTTTTGATGCAAGGCGGACGGGTTTTGATGCAAGGCGAGCGGGTTTTGATACAAGGCGAGCGGGTTTTGATACAAGGCGAGCGGGTTTTGATGCAAGGCGAGCGGGTTTTGATGCAAGGCGAGCGGGTTTTGATGCAAGGCGAGCGGGTTTTGATGCAAGGCGAGCGGGTTTTGATACAAGGCGAGCGGGTTTTGATACAAGGCGAGCGGGTTTTGATACAAGGCGAGCGGGTTTTGATGCAAGGCGAGCGGGTTTTGATACAAGGCGAGCGGGTTTTGATACAAGGCGAGCGTGTTTTGATACAAGGCGAGCGTGTTTTGATACAAGGCGAGCGGGTTTTGATACAAGGCGAGCGGGTTTTGATACAAGGCGAGCGGGTTTTGATACAAGGCGAGCGTGTTTTGATACAAGGCGAGCGTGTTTTGATACAAGGCGAGCGGGTTTTGATACAAGGCGAGCGGGTTTTGATACAAGGCGAGCGGGTTTTGATACAAGGCGAGCGGGTTTTGATACAAGGCGAGCGGGTTTTGATACAAGGCGAGCGGGTTTTGATACAAGGCGAGCGGGTTTTGATACAAGGCGAGCGGGTTTTGATGCAAGGGGAGCGGGTTTTGATACAAGGCGAGCGGGTTTTGATGCAAGGCGAGCGGGTTTTGATACAAGGCGAGCGGGTTTTGATACAAGGCGAGCGGGTTTTGATACAAGGCGAGCGGGTTTTGATACAAGGCGAGCGGGTTTTGATGCAAGGCGAGCGGGTTTTGATGCAAGGCGAGCGGGTTTTGATGCAAGGCGAGCGGGTTTTGATGCAAGGCGAGCGGGTTTTGATGCAAGGCGAGCGGGTTT